ACTCAGCTTACAAGAAAGGCTCCCAGGTCGCCATGGCCATTCAAAGAAGAGATGTATACCCTAGATGTGCCTTTGAACGCTGATCTCAAATCTACCTTCCAAATCTGCTAAACGATTCTCTGAACGGAGTTATGAAGCAAAACAGCGCAACGGTAGTGGTCGGGACTCACAGTCAAAACGTCGTAGGATCGGTCCCTTATCGTGTTTACTGTTTTCCATTCTTCAGGAATACAGCTAAACGGCTTTAATAGCTTTAACTGAATTCCTGAAGAATGCAAAACAGTAATTACGATAAGGGACCGATCCTACGACGTTTTGACTGTGAGTCCCGACCACTACCGTTGCGCTGTTTTGCTTCATAACTCCGTTCAGAGAATCGTTTAGCAGATTTGGAAGGTAGATTTGAGATCAGCGTTCAAGGCACATCTAGGCGTATACATCTCTTCTTGAATGGCCATGGCGACCTGGGAGCCTTTCCTTGTTAGTACTAAACCTGAGCGTTTCTGTACTCCCTGACAATCTGTTCCGGGCTGCTCCCCTCCCTGAGACGCGCTGCACCGCATACTTGTTCTATTCCATTTTGCTAACAATATCAAGGACCCATTCGAGAATTGTGTTTGCGTGTGGTGGTGGGAGATAGGTATCGGGGTCAACATTCCATTGTTCCAATACCAAAAATTTTATTTTACGACTCCTTAGAGGGTCTCGTAGGACTTCTGTCCTTCAAAGAGGTCTCGCTATGACTTCCTCCTTTAGGGGAGTCCCATTATGATCCCCTCTGTTAGGGGTGCAAGCGATGAATAAATATGTGCAAGCGCTTCAGATAAATTGACCACCAGCCATCAGCTTTTGGACTCCACCCAACACGACCCCCTTCCCCTACCCCAACCACCGCCCTCGCCATCATGGTCGTTTCTCTAGTGCTGGAGGCAGATAGTGTGGTGAGACCAGCGACACAGCGCAACTTCACCCAACCCACTTTTCCTTCAAAACGGCCGTCGAGCGGAACTAGGGTTGAGAAGGTGAATATGAAATATGGCTAGAGAAACAGGCAATGCTCTAGTTTGTCTACTTCACGTTTACTCTCTTGAATTTTTATCAAAGTTATCAGAAAACCTACCAAAGCCAACCCCTCTCCCACCACCACACTCCATCCAACTTCCGAAGTACGACCCCCTTTCAACCTTAGGAATTTCACCAACCCCAAACACGACCACTCAAACACGATCCCTCTCTTTGAGTCTTGCGTAAGGCTGGTGTCAGAGTCCGCGATCCGTCGCAGGTTTCGCTGATTTTCGCGATTTGCGCGATTTGCGATTTGCGCGATTCACGCGATTTGCGCGACGGGTCACGGAAATCACAAGTGCCCCATCAATACTGCAAGGTGTTCTCCAATCCCGCCGCCACTTCTGCTTGATAGTG